TGGCTTCACAAGAAAGGAGAAATGCCCTGTGAGCCACAGCAGGACCTGCTCCGGCTCCAGAAGAAAACAGGCAGTAGGTCATAATGTGGGCCAGGGTACGGCAACCTGACTCCCTTGGGAGCAAGCCTGAAGGACCCCGGGGAGCACCCACACACGAGTCAGACCTGTGAACATGCCACCTCCACTCAGGGATGTCGAGCGAGGTGGCTCATCTGCCCAGATCCAGAGCACAGACGCCTCAGCACAAACACAGCCTGGCAGCACACCGTGTTCCATGATGGAGCCTGACAAGCCAAATCCTCGGCACAGCGTGCTGTGGGCACCAGTCCCACACCCAGCCAAATCCCAGTGGCACAAGTGCAACCCCAGGCATGAGAAGACACCGTGGTGTCAAGCCCAGCACACACACGTCCAGCTCGCAGAGCCCAAACCCAAAACGTGAACCATTCCCAAGCCAGAATCTCCATGCCTCTCTCCGCCAGCATCCCTGCACAGCACCGACAACCGCCGTCTCCAGCACCCTGTGCACACCGGCTGCAGCGCAGATACACAATGCCGCAATTAAAATGCATCCTAGATAAGAGTTTGGCAATTAGCCAGCACCGGCGGAGGAGCCAGCCTAATGCACAGCATGGATTTCCTCATTAACAAACACAAACACAATCGATCCCGCAGCACAGATAAATAGGTCAGGGGGCTGGACGATCACCTGGCCAAAATCTCCTGGGGGAGTACCCAGCTCTCCTCCTGCCCTGAGGAAGGAGGGATCTTCTGGAGCCCAGGGTCGAGCCTCTCCCCAGCAATTCGAGGCTGGGGGAGTTAACCTGCACCGGAGGCTCTGATCAGTCAGAGAGGGGAAGAGGCAATGAGAGATGGGCACTAGACAGGCTGCCAAGTCAGCCCCATCCACCACTCCGCCCAACCTGGCTCCCTGCTGAAAAGAAACAGCCTCTGCAAGTGCACGAGTGCTCCCCGAGCCACGGAAATGCAGAGGGTCAACACTACTGACCCCTAAAAGATGCCCCAAGGAACCAGTTTCCACCCTGCAAAATGCAATACAGCATCAGTTGCTTTATGGCTGCTCCCTTCACTCACCTGCAAAGGCTTTGGAGATCCGCTCCTTCTTCCACTCCCAGGGCTGGTCATACTCCTCTGGAGGCCGCTCATCGTCCTCCGGCAGCCGGGACTCCCTGGGCCTGGGGCAAGCCAGGCGGTCACCGTCCATGTCCAGCCCACGAAGCACAGGCTCGTAAGGAGTGTCATAGAGGGGCAGCGGCCGGGCAGGAGCCTCCCGTAAGCCTTTCTGGCGGATCTCTAGCAGGAGAAAAGGGAAAAGACCGTGAGCTTTTTGCCCAACAGTCTGGCCATGGTTCCCAAAGTCCTGCTAGATCGAAGGGCCCAATTTCATCTGAGGGCAACGTGGGGTTGGGAGCATCAGTGATGGAAGAGACCCCTCAAACCTCCAGCAAGTGCCGGCCAGATGCAGGGGAGCTGCTGAGCAGCTGGGTCCTGAGCAGTCCACAGCACCAAGATGCCTGCTCTCCCCACAGTGCAACATCCCCACTCTTGGGCAGCCCTGCAAAACCGGGGTCCACAGGGGTCCATGATATCCCAGAGCCCAGATCCCTGCGAGCAGCAAGGCCGGGTTTCTTCCCTGGACGCCCTGTTTAATAAACATCCCTTCCCTCGAGCAAAACAAAAGTCTTTGCCACATACACAAGGAGCCTCTTCACCGCTTGCTGATTTTTCCAAGAAATGTAATGGTCTAGTCCAAAAAGCCACATGAGCTTTCCAGAAACCACTCACTCCAGGAAAACCATGGAACTGCAAAGCAGAGCCAAAGCCTGGAGTGCACAAGCCATTCACGGTGACCCTGCCTGCGCCGCAGGGGTAAGAGCGATGCCTTCGGGAGCACGCGCTCTCGCCTTGCCTGCTCTCCGGCCGTAAACAAGCCCACTGGGGACCCTGCTGCTGCAGCAGACAACGGCACGCTCTGGCCCAGTCCTAACCGAATTAAATAGCTCCCACATCCGTCTTTGTTTTATGCCAGACTCATCAAATGTCAGGCCTCTCCTGTCTCAGTCTGGCAAGCAGGCCCATGGTCTTGAGAGTAGCCTCTGGCTACGACAAGCCCACTGAACATGGCTAATGCTAGGAAAATTGGCCTGCAAAGTGGCTGTACACCATCACAGCCATTTCCCACGTCTGCCTTGTCTGGGGACCTGGTGTTGTCAGGGGTTGCAAGGAACAGCGTAAAGTGGCCACCAAATTCTCACGGCAGGGATCAGAGCCTTCCACCTTACCAGCCATCATCTTCTGGGCTTCATATGGCTCCATGTATCCATCATTCTCCGTCACCTTCTCCAGCCCTCCCTGGCTACCAGCCACCTGTGCCGCATCGAAGGGATCTGCGTAGTCCTCCAGGACAGCCAGCTAGAAGAGGGGAAGGGTAGGAGAAGGGTTAGGGTACTCCCTGCCTTTTTTGGGGGGGTCAGGGACCAATTGGAACCCCTTGAAACCTCACCACAAACTCTGCTAGCAGCAGCCTGAGTGGCAGCCGGGACTCCGAGCCCGCATCACGACAGCCCCACAGAGCAGGTGCTGGCAGCAGGCGGCTTTCCAGGCACCAGCGCTCGGCTGTGGAAACGCTCCAGCCTTTGTCCCGAAAGCTGGGAGAGAGCCAAGCAGAGCAGAAGGCGGCCCGGCCTCCTCCCTTAGCATCGGCTCAACACTGCCAGCACCCATGCAGACACCCTAGCAAAGCCCCCACCATGGCATGGGGCTGCCAGCGGTACCATCCTCCCTCCATGGCACGCAGATGTTCTCCCTCCAGGCAGCCACATTTCCTCACCCGAGGTGGAGAAGAGGCACAGATCCCAGTACAGGGGTGTCAGCTGGCACTGGCGTGACTGGGAACTCACAGGTTATTTGCCAGGGACCCTGCAGGCTTGTTTGAAGACACTTCTTCACAAAAGGGCTATGGCTTCCTCCCCAGGCTCCCACAGCATCCCCACACACATCTCAAGTAACACAAGACAGGGCTCCTCCATGCAATCAGGGGTCACCAGGAAGCAGGACCAGGAGCCTCTCAAGTGCCATGTCACAGGGACAGCAGAAAAAGCCAGAGGTTTGCCCTTACTAGCGAAAAGGAGATGATCCTGCAGTACGATAAGGAGCCTGCAGTAATGCTGAGAACGTAAACCAGAGCCTGATCCCCGCCAGCACTGGAGCCACATGCCTGCTCCGGCACCTCAGCAGCTTCCTGGCACAAGCACTCCATCACATGATGCCACAGCCCCTGACAAGACTGGAGCTATATATCCCACCTCCAGTCCCAAAACGGAGCCAGGCAATATTTCCAGCAGGGTCTGAGCACACCCAAGCACCTTTGATGGGGTCTGCTTGCCCAACCAGCTGCAAACCTCAGGCTCGACCGTCCAGCGAGATGGGTTTTGCCACCACCATGCCAGCTATGCAGCGCTCCCACAGCAAGGACCAAACAGCCCAAGCACAGTGTGGCAGCTGCCTAATCCCACCCAGCACCAGGCTCCGTTCTTGCTGTCCCTGCCCCTGGCCAGTCTTGAACACCAGGGCCACTCACACATTCCTCTCCAGCTCCCATAATCCGCTTAAAACAAAACACTTCTTCCTCTTTCCTGTACAAAACGGCCGACAATAGCCTCGAGCAGCAAAACCCAGCAGGAAAAGGGAACAGGAACTGGAGCAGTAAACACCTCTGAGCAGCGGAGCCTTCGCATCCCTCAGCACTGCAGGAGCAACGTGGCTCCCCTCATCCCAGCTCACCACCTCCTCCATAAACGTCCTGGCTCTGGGCTCCCTGAGGGCTGATGCAGTTCTCCAAGCCCATCCCCTCGGTACCGAGGCAGGAGCGTCATCCCTGGAGCAAACCCTGCCAGCCACAGGGCTTACAGCCAGCCCAGGCGAGCACAAGGTGGGCTCCAACGAGGGAGCAAGCAGACGCTCTCGCCCCTCAGCAAGGCAGAAGCAGGACAGATGGCTGCTTGGGGTACCGAAAGACAGGAAAAGAGCAAACCCCCCCACGGGCTCTGCAGGCAGGGCGGGGAGCCAGGACGGAGCTGCAGGAGCGGCCAGCCCCTGGCTTTGCGGCGGGAGACAGGAAATGTGCTCTCACCTCCATCATCCGAGGGAGACGTGCCATCACTCAGCCCCCGTCGGGCACCGGGGACACCAAGGGGCAACGCTGAGCCCAAGGGGCCGCAGCCCTTTGCTTGCCCCCAACGAGGCAAAGCCCCCAGGGAACTCCAAGTCACGGGTGACTTTTGCTGCTTGGTTGCTGGGACCCAAGTGAACACCCCGGGGCAGGGGGATGAGCGGCAACAATACATTCGTTGTGGGAAGCCCCTGTTTTCTAAACACTCTTTTCCTCTCCAAGGCAAGAGGGGTTCAGCCTGCAGCAGGCGGGTGCTTCCCACAAGGGCAGATCAGCACCCGCCACTCCAAACAGCCAGGAGATCCCGCGGGCTGCACCCACACCTCGGAAAGCTGCAGAGAGGCTTTCGCTCTGCAGCAACGACCTCTGCAGAGCACAGCCCCATGCCGGCGACAGCTCACGCGCACTAGTGCCAAGGGAGGCACGAGCACGCAGGCCAGCGTCCCGACACACACCAGTGCACAAGCCCGGCACACGAGTGCCCGCGAGGCGGGCGGCAGGCAGCGCCGTGCCCGATGCTCACCCTTTGCGAAGAGCTCTCGTGGCTCCAAGCATGCAGCGGGGCTGTGAAACGCAGTGTGCTGACCCTCCTGGGCTCAGAAAGGGGTTGCCTGCTTGCTCCTCCTGCCCCAAGCCCAACCTGCCAGCATTCAAACCTTCCACGAACCCCACTTCCTAGGTGCATTTCGCTAGACCGACATAGACACGGCTTGCTGCTGGCGCCAGTCCTGGACCCTCCCTCTCTCACCCCATAAAATCACAGAACAGCTTCAGACAAGCCAGGGCACCGGCACAGCAGCTCGGCAGCCGGGAGGCTCCTCCATACACAGTGGTTTTGCCTCCCAACCAGAGGAAAGACCCCTCTGTACTTCCTCAGTGCTTGGGTCTGGCCTCCCAGGGAAGCACACACGAGCTGCAGCAAGCTCACAAAGTGGCCTCCACGCAGATGCCTCCAGGTCTAGAAAGCAAAGGATGGTGGAGAATCCTCACATGTCTCTGCTGAGACCCCTAAAACTGGGTGTTTTGCGTGCAGGGGGGTGCAGAGGGGCTCAGCAGCAATTAGATGGGCTCTACGCTGGCAAGATATGGCTTGCTGGGCTCAGCTCAGACCCAGAGAAAATGGCTCAGATCAGGGGCTCAAGTCTTCGAGCTCCCTAGGTTTGGTGGGATTTTGCCACCCTGGTTTTGCTCCTCCACTATCTCCAAGGATGCCTCTTTGTAGAAACGAAGCCTCCCCACCACGGGATGCTGAGAACGTAAACCCATTTGGTTTTTAAATGGTCAAATATCACAGTGGAGAGCCACAGAAAAGCCAGGAAGGCAACTCCTAACTGTCTTCAGGAGTATTGCAACCTCAGGACGCACAATCACTCAAGCCAGCGAGAAGGGTACCCTGAGCCAGCCCTAGGCCCCTACGGTTGGCGGCCCCAGCCGGTGCCAGGAACCGGGCAAGGCTCTTAAGAGGGCAAACGATGGGATTCACATGGGATTCACGTGATTACCAATTGCATCCTAATGCCCTTGCACCTGGGGCCGAATTAAGGTTGCCCGGGAAACTGCATCTCTGACATTTCCTAATCCGAGCGCTGGACTTTACGAGCGGCGCGGGGCTCTCTGCGGCAGGC